CTCCAAGTGCTTATTATGTCTGAGTGGGGGCTTGTGTGTGTGCACATGTGTCTGTCTGTCTCTGTGAACGCACAGCCTGAGTGCTGCTTCCTCGGCTCGTCGTTGACTCTGGCCCTCGTCCCTCCTCACTCTGTCTCCCTCTGCGGAAATAGAGGATGAAATCAAGACCTAGGTATGGAATGCCGGGGGCAGGAGAGTTTGGAAAAGCAGAAGTCCCGAGCCAGAGCAGACTGAAAGGATGAGTGGCAACAGCGAGACTTAGTTTTGTCCACAGGCAAAATCTCCTGTCACTTTTCTTTCCAACTTGGACGATCCCTGGAGGAGTCAGGGGTATGGCTCACTTTACGGCTCGCTGTGGGCCTGCAGGAAGAGCAGCCTCCAGAGCCACCTTTTCCAGCCCTCAGCCTGCAGCCTTCCTCCCTCGTCTTCTCAGCCATTTGGGAAGAGCTGCCATCAAGGCTGCCACTGTGCTGACCTTTCCTGTTCAGATCCAGAAAGGGAGCTGGGCTCAGCACACTTCCCTCCTGGCCTGACTTCTTTCCCGGGTTCTATCCAGCCCTTCTCCAACCCCAGCAAAAAATCCAAGGTCAGACCCTATGCCTGGACAGGGGCAGCCCTGCTCTGACCTCCATCCCACGCTCCACCTGGCTTGGGTAGGGCACAGCTGTGCTCTGGGAGCTGGTGAAGGGGACGTTACCATGTACAAATACAGGCTGCGGCCCATCTACACCTCTCAAGAAAGACTCCTAATAAATTCTGAGCAGTCAAGTGACACACGTCTCAATCTAGGCTAATCCATCACGTTCATGCCACCCCACGAAGAAGCCTGCATTGAGTTCCTGTCAAGGGGGACAGGAGCTGGGCACAGAGAGACCCCCCCCAGCCAGCTCTCTCCCCAGCCCTACCACCCTAGCCTCCTTCTGTTCTCCTCTGACTACATATCAAGCCTTCCCTCTCTCCTACTAGAGGAGTCCTAGGAACCAGCAGGAAAGAACTATAGGCAACACCTGGAAAGGGACTGAGGCAGGCTCCTGGGCAGAGTCTGGCTAGGTGTGGACAGGAATAGAGACAGGTAGGGGAGTTTATGGGGCCATGCCCACTGTTTAGAGTGGGCTTGGAGGAAGCCACGCAGGAGTTGCGTAGATTACTGGTAGGATGCAAGATGTGTTTGGACAGGTGAAGGAGCAGACAAATGCTTGAACACCTGGTTGTTTTCAAACTTCTTTTTGGCCTTGAAACCCCTTCTTCAGATGAAGTCTTTTTTTTTTTTTTTTTTTTTTTCGGAGCCGGGGATTGAACCCAGGCCCTTCAGCTTGCCATGCAAGCGCTTATTCTACTGAGCCATCTCCCCAGCCCCTAGATGAACTCTTAACCAGGTGTGGTGGAGAACATCTGTAATCCTAACACTAGGGAGGTTGAGGCAGGAGGAGTGCTGTGAGTTTGAAGCCAGAAGAGCTGCCCTAGTTAAAATACACCCAAGCCAAGCCAGGCCAGGCTGGAGCTCTACCTGAACCCCTGGGGGGCATCTGGACAGGACCCCAAAGAAAGCAATTAGGAAAACAAGTGAAGAACGAGTGTTAGGAGTCCCACAGACCTGGTTCAGAACGTAGACAATACTTACAAGCTGTGACCTTCAGCTAGTTACGTCTCGGTTTCCTCACCTGTAAAACAGTAATACAGGCCAGACACCGCAGGCTGGAGTGAAGTGCACTGGGAGAGAGCCTCCCATGCAAAAATGAGGCCCTGGGTTAGGTTCCAGTATGCTGAAAGGCAAAAATTGAAAAAGCAACAGAGTTCAGCACCCCTAATCTGAGATGTTCTAAAATCTGAAACTTCGAGTGTCAACTCTCAACAAGTTTCAATTTTTTTAAAAAAATATATTTAGTACAGGGTCTACAGGATCTTACTATCTACATCAGACTTGTAGTGATCCACCTGTTTTCAGCCTCCCGGGGGCTGGGATTACAGGCGCAGGTGGGCACCACTACACCGTCTCAGTTGCTGTCTCAGTGAGCCCCAGGCTGCCGCGCTCTGCCTAAGCAGGTGCTTTAGTCTGCTGACCTGGCCGGCCCCAGTAAGCTTCACATTTTGGCGCATTTCTGACTTCCAGTTTTCGGATAAGAGTAGTCAACTGGTAGATCTAAGCCAATATTCCAATATATGAAAAACTCTGAATTCAGAAGCACCAGCAATAGCAGTGATGAGTCTTAGGAGAAAGAGTAGGCCTGATTCCAAGTCACTGCCGCCCAAGGAAGAAATGGCAAGTCCCGCCGGGCCGAGGTGTGATTGGCTGAGGGGTACTGGCGGGAATATTGAACATTCGGGTTTAGGGGGTGTAGTATAGCAGATGTGGGGTGTGGTGCTGTGCAGGCTTTTTGTTTGTTTGTTGTTTTGCTTTTGGTTTTTTCCTACTCAACAACTATCAAACAACTATGCATCAGGCACAGTTTTAGGCTCTCAGCAATACGAAGTCTAGTGTGCCTCAGCGCATCAACCTCACACTGTTCCCCTTGGGGCTAGTGGTCCCACTCGTATCCGCGGTACCCCACGAGACGGCCTTGTGTTGGGGACTGCAAAGGGGGCAGGAACCTCATGTGCCCCATAAATCCGGTCTCTGCGTGCTCTTCCCTCCAGAGCCTTCCATGGAGTTCGGGCTACTCCCCGAGGCGGAGGCCCGCAGCCCCGCGCTGTCGCTGTCGGACGCCGGCACTCCGCACCCGCCACTGCCGGAGCACAGCTGCAAAGGCCCGGAGCACAGCGGTGAGCGCGCCCCCTCCTGGGGCCGGGGGAGATGGCACCTCGGTCCCCGAGACGGCGCGGAGCCCTGGGGACCAGGGGGAGCGGCGGGCGGGTAGAGAGGCCCCTAAGCCCTGCCCTGGCCCCCAGATTCAGAGAAGGCCTCGGCCTCGCTGCCCGGAGGCTCCCCTGAGGACGGCTCGCTGAAGAAGAAGCAGCGACGGCAGCGCACGCACTTCACCAGCCAGCAGCTGCAGGAGCTGGAGGCGACCTTCCAGAGGAACCGCTACCCCGACATGAGCACGCGCGAGGAGATCGCCGTGTGGACCAACCTCACCGAGGCTCGCGTGCGGGTACTGCGCCGCCCCGCGGGTCGCCCCCCGCCCAGCAGCCCCGCCCTCCGCGCCCCGAGCCCGCCGGCCGCGCTCGCCGCGGCTCTGAGCGCCCGCCTCGCCCGCAGGTGTGGTTCAAGAACCGGCGCGCCAAGTGGCGCAAGCGCGAGCGCAGCCAGCAGGCGGAGCTGTGCAAGGGCGGCTTCGCGGCGCCGCTCGGCGGGCTGGTGCCGCCCTACGAGGACGTGTACCCCGGCTACGCCTACGGCAACTGGCCGCCCAAGGCGCTCGCGCCGCCGCTCGCCGCCAAGACCTTCCCGTTCGCCTTCAACTCGGTCAACGTGGGGCCGCTGGCGTCGCAGCCCGTCTTCTCGCCGCCCAGCTCCATCGCCGCCTCCATGGTGCCCGCGGCCGCGCCCGCGCCCGGCGCCGTGCCCGGCCCCGCTGCCCTGCAGGGCCTGGGCGGGGGCCCCCCCGGGCTGGCGCCGGCCGCCGTGTCCTCCGCGGCCGTGTCCTGCCCGTACGCCTCGGCGCCCTACGTGTACCGGGACCCGTGTAACTCGAGCCTGGCCAGCCTGCGGCTCAAGGCCAAGCAGCACGCCTCCTTCAGCTACCCCGCCGTGCCCGGGCCGCCCGCGGCCGCCAACCTCAGCCCGTGCCAGTACGCCGTGGAGCGGCCCGTGTGAGCCCGCAGCGCCCTCTCCCGCCGCGGGGCTGGGGTGGGGGGCTCGGGGAAGGCCTTTCCCGGCCGGACGGCACCCCGGGATGAAGGCCAGGAGCGGGGACCGTCCGCTCCCCCGACCCGGCCGCCTTCTCCAGACGCCCCGATCCGTTTTCAAAGGTAAATGAAATAAATGTGCGCGGACTGTGAAAGCCTGCTGACTCGACTTGCGGTTGACCCTCTCCCGTCCTTCTCCCCCTGGCCCAAAAGAGCTGGACGCGCTGGGACGTGGCGAGCGTGCAGGCCTCTGCCCTCACTCGCCGCCTGCGCTGCGGGCAGCCCGGCTCCCGGAGCCCAGCGGTGCACGAGGGCCTCGAGCGGGGCGGAACCGGCGCTTGGCTGCCGCCGGCCAAAGCCGGTGTTGCGGCGCCACCTGGCGGTCTCAGGGAGCACAGTTGCCGGTCGGGTCTCCAGCGCGTATTTGCAGGGATCATTGTGGTAATTTAGGAAGCCTCTGACCTTAGGCGAGTCACTCCGCCTTTCTGCACCTGTTTCTCACTGTTCCTATGAGGGGCACGGACCCCTAACAGCAATAAAATTCTGGTCTGTGACAGACATTTATTACCTGCCTACCAGGCCTAGGATTCTTATTGTCTCTGTGTGAGTGCCTCCCATCCTTCCAACACACCCTCAGGCTGCCATCGCCCCAGTACCAACAGACCTCTCCCACCCCAGAACCCCTCTCCTCCCCCCCCAGACCCAAGCCCCTCCGAATCTTGTTGGCATCATCTTTTTTTTTTTTTTATTGTTTTGAGCCCGTGTTTCAGGTAATTCAGGCTGGCCTTGAACTCACTATGTAGCCCAGGCTGGCCTTGAACGCACAGCAATCCTGTCTCAGCCTCCTGAATGTTGGGATTACAGGCCTGTACCACCATGGGTAGCTTAATGTCATCAATTTAAGGGAGGGGGCAGGGAGATAGTTCAGTGGTACAGCATCTGCCTGGCAAGCACAAGGTCCTGAGTTTGAATCCCAGTGCCACAAAACAACTCTGGATAGAAATATAAATAAATCAGCTCTTGGGACCCTCCTCAGCCCCACCCCATCTCCAGGGCCTGCTTGGCTTCACATTAAAGACAGAAATAGCAATACTTTCATCCATTACGTTTCTGCCATCACTTCTGCCACCATGGGGCTCACAAACCACTGGGAAGCCATGCAGGGAAGGCACCCTAATCACTCCCCAAATGCAAGTCCAGGCCCCTAGGGCCTAGGGGAAGAGGGTGGGCCTGATGTGCCATCTTTCTCCCCAACCTGTCACTGGCTCTTGGTTTTAATTTTGGCTTGGGGCTTGATGTAGGTTTGGTGGAAGAAACGAGCAAAGAGGATGAAATAGGTCGAATACAAGACGAAGGACCAGAAGAAGTGTTCTGTTGTGGTGTGGCACCCTTGTTCCTGCCTCCAGATGTAAGTGAGGATGCCCACGACAGTGCCCATGACCATCTGCAGGATTTGCAGGCTGGTGACCAGCATGGGGAGCAGCCGTGGGTGTGCCACCCTGGCGGCCTTCAGGGTGTAATAGGTGTACATGATGGCGTGCACGCCGAAGTTCATGGTCATAAACCACCCGCCTGAAGGCACTTTGTTCTTGTACCCAAAGCTTGTGAACATCAGCACCGTGCTGTGGTGGTACCAGTGCACGAAGATGAGCTGCCGCTTCCGCAGGATGATGAAGGCCGTGTCTCCTGGGGGACAAGTCAGTGGAACCTTCAGAGCCCAGCCATCCTTCTTCACTGGGTGTGGGGACACAGGGGGGACTCTTAGGGAGGGGAGGGTGGCCTTGGTGGCAGAGATCCAAGCTCTGGTGGGACTTAGGTAGGCAAGGGGCTTCATGTGTTGGGTTAGGGAAGTCCTCTGAGGAGGGACAGGGATGAAATTCACAGGGCCCCAGGGATGCCAAGTCTGGCCACTCACCCAGCTCAATGACTTTGCTGAGAAGAAAGAGACAGGACCAGAATTTGATTATGGTGTGCTCGATGTAGTCAGTGAAGCACACAGTGTGCTTTAGGCCCCCACTGAGCATCAGGGTCCCCATGTAGCCCCACGTTCTCACTGCCCCCAGAATACTGAAATAGGACACAGGAAGAAAGGATAAGGTCACTTCTAGGCATCGGCTCACCCTTCCCCTGGCCTGACCAGGTCACCAAGCCTTGTCACCATTCCAAGGGTACATGGGTCACAGCCTCTGAGATCCTGGGCTGCTCTGCTAGATCCAACCCATATTCCACAGAGGAGGAAGGCAGAAGATGACCAAGGGCATGCAGAGAGGTTGGACTGGAAGCTGCTAGGCGCTGGGGGTAGGAGTGAGGGAAGAGCTTGTGGTGGGGGAGGACTGGGAAGGTCACAGAATCTGGGGGAGAAAACGTAGGAAGGAGGTGCTAAAGGTTGTTGCCAGAGCTTGGGACAGAGTGTTAAGAACTGAAAGGGATGGAGCAAAGACTGCTAGGCCATGGTGTGGGAAAGAAGAAAAACAGGGTAATGTGGGGAGTAAACTAGGAGGAAGGCACCCGAGGTTTCTGGAAAGATTTAAAAGAGGTAAGGGAGGCCCAGGAAAGTCTCGATTTAGCAAGACCTTATGTCAAAATTTTTAAAAAGTAGGAGGGTGATAGGAATGTGGCTTGGTGCCAAGATCCTGGGCCCAATCCCTGCCCCCTAAAATCATAGGGCGCGAGAGAGGGATGTCTTACCTGAAGAGTGCAAGGCAGAAAGACCAGAGGACGAGTGGCCGCTGCAGGTGAAAGCCCTCCCTTGCCTTCATGTAGTTCTGCCCCAGAAGGATGAGCAGAAGGTAGACGAGGGCGATGGGGAATGCGGTGGCCCTGGCAGGAGAATGCGGAGGGCACGCCCGTGAGTGGTACAGTTAGAATGCCCGCCGCGCTGCCCATGACAGTTTGCTCGCTTGCCCTTCCAGCCCTGCCACTTCCTATTTGTGCACACTTCTGTTTCCTTTGTAAAGGACAGACCATACTCTTCTCCCAGCAGTATTAATGTAGAGTTCGGGGCGTGAGCCAGAGCCAGGGCTTCCGGGACTCCTGCTGGCAGTGAGACGGGTGGGCGGCAGGTCTCTGGCCCACACCTAGAATGAACCCGGGGCAGTGGTGTGAGGACAATGTGGCAATAGCTGTCGTGTGGTTGCCCGTGTTAGCCCACATGCTCCCCTGGGCGCTCTGCAGCTTAGCGGAGCCTGAGAAATGCCTGGAGGGCTCCCAGCCACTCCACAGTAGGGGACAATGAGACCTCTCAGGGCAGGCTGCCCTGCCACAAGGGTGGGGATCCTTCTCCTTGACATTTGTCCCCTGCTGCCCTCTCTGTACGCTTTCTTCCAGCTCGAATCTCTTGAGGTGCCCCAGCGGTCTGCACCTTGGGCTGGCGATAGCATTTCAATCCCCCCACCCCAAGTAGGTAGCAGGCTCTGGGCCCTTCTGGGGCCGTTCCTCCTCGTCGGGTCTCACCAGTATTCCTCCAAAAAGGGCCTCAAGTCCCGGGTCGTCTCGAAGTCATAGGGCTGGAACAGTTGCCCCATCTCACGTGAGACATTGATGGTTGTGACCATTGCGTTCTGCAGAGTGGAGAGCTCAGGGGGAGCCGAGCAAGTGGGGGTAGGGGCTGCAGTGAACCTCGGGGTGGGACGGACTGGACCCAAGACAGAAAGAACTCCTGGGCAAGGCAGAGGGGCCTCGGGTCCGTGGACGTGCGATGCTGGCAGCCTGTCTGCGCCGCGGTGGCCCGGCGTTTATAACTTGGTGTAGGCGGGTAGGAGGCAGCCCTCTCCCTGCACCCCCAGGGTGTGCAACCTAGGCCAGGACACGCCCACGCTCCGCCCCTTGGCTGCACCGTTCCTTTTGATTGGCTATCCTCGGGTCAGCCCCACCCCCATCCCCTGGTGTCTGTCCCACCCCACACTCGCCCGCCAGAGTTTCCCTAACCTCTGCACGGTGCCCGCTGGGCTCCTGGCGGGCACAGCTGAGCCCGAGAAGTCTTGTCCGGCTTCTGTTAGCCTTGCCACCTGCTTGGCAATGAGGTCAATGCATCCTTGGCCTCGTGCCGTCACCCGGAGATGGGGTGTCACGTTGTGTGCTCACCGAGACGCTCATCCCGCAGCCCCGGTCTCTTCCGCCGCTTCGGGCCAGCGAGGAGGCGTTTTGCGCGTTTTATTGTTAAGGTTGTTGATGTTTGGGGAGGTAGTTGTTGACTGCTGAGGCTGCCATGGTGGTTTTACAGTTTCCTGAATTCCTGCACAGCGCAGGGTGGGTGAGACACCCGGTAATAACCTTGGCCAGAGACAGGGTCAACCCCCCCCTGCTGCCTTCGGGTCTCCAGGAGGCGCCTCGGGTCTAGGGCGCCAGGGCATCTCCCCAGCTATTTTCTTTCCCCTGTAGGCCCTTACCGAGTCCGCCTACTTCTTTGTTGCTTGAATCTAGCCCCAAAGAATGAAAGGTGCGCAAAGCCTCAGGACCTTATTTTGGCCGCCCTTTATTTCTCTCCCAGGCTTTGCCAAAACGAAGGAGAACTACAGAGCAATGGAAAATTGCAATATGTGCTCAGAAAGATAAATATAAAATACTAAAAATGAAGTGTAGAAGTGTGTGCATAGGCAGAGGATCCAGGTGGATTACCCTAGCTCCACTTTTTTTTTTTTTTTCTTGAGACAGTTTTACTATACAGTTCAGGCTGACCTTGAATTCTCACTTTATGTACCCCATGCTGGCCTTAAACTTGCAGCAATCCTCCTGTCTCAGCCTCCTGAGTACTGGGATTACAGGCATGTGTCATCACACCCAGCTGGCTCCATTTTCTGAACCTCAGTCACTGTCTGTGGAAAGATGGAATGGAAAATCTTGCCCATACCATCTAAATGACCTCGATGTGCAGCCCTTTGTCTGCCCCTTGTCACCTCACCTGGTAAGGACAGCCTTTTGAGGTCAAATTCATTGTCCCACCACCTTAGAAACACAGTGCTTCTCTCTATTGAATTGGGTGGTTTTTAAAAAAATCTCCAACCCTATCTTTTTTTTTTTATGAGCAGAATATATTTATTGAGGGAAAGAAAGCTCCTGTCTGAGAGAGGGACAGGAGGGGGGCCTGAATTGGGTGGTTTTTAAAAAAATCTCCAACCCTATCTTTTTTTTTTATGAGCAGAATATATTTATTGAGGGAAAGAAAGCTCCTGTCTGAGAGAGGGACAGGAGGGGGGCCTGACATAGGTAATTCCCTTTTTTTTTGTTGTTCTGGGAATTGAACTCCGGACCTTGTGCTGCCGAGCTAGCTCCCCAGCACCTAGACCATACTTTGGAAACCAAGCTTCTGTCCTTTCATCCATCACGATTCTGTCTAAAACCTACACTGTATCTGTTTTCCTGCTTAAAATCTGGCAGCGGTTCCTGATTGCTTCACCCATGGCCTGACACGCAAAAGCTAATCAACATATGTTTGATGGGTAGGTGAAAGATTAAGTGTCACAAGACTAATATAACCCATTGCCTCAGTCAGTTTTGTGTTGCTATAACAAAATCCCAGAGGGCATCTTATAAAGAGGCTTATGGAGCTCACAGGTGCAGAGGCAAGTCCAGGGTTTGACAATCACATCTGTGTAGCCTGTGAAAGCAGCCTACCATGGTGACTGGCAGCATGCGACAGAGTCCCTGTGCAGCGATCACATGGTAAAGTGCAAACAAGGAAATAAAGAAGAGCCAGGATCCTTCTTGGTTTTTTCTGGAGACAAAGTCTCCCTATGTAGCCCAAGCTGGCCTTTGCCTCAGCAGTCCTCCTGCCTCAGCCTCCCAAATGCGGGGATTATAGGTGTGAGCTACCAGCCTAAGGCTCACTCTTCTATGACAGCTCACTCTCGTGGGAACTGACCTGGCCCTGCAAGAATGACATTAACCCTTCTGGGAGGGTGCTGCCCAGATCTAATCATCCCTCCAAGACCCTCCTCTTAACTTGGGAACCAAGCTTCCAGCGTGAGACTCTGGAGGCCACACCAAACAATACCCAACTGTGGCCATCGTCTCAGTGCTAGGAGACCTGAGGGCAGGGCGCAGCCTATTAGCAAACTATGTTACTTTAGGAAACTTACCTAACTTCTCTTAGAAGCACATCCTTCAGCAAAAGGCAAATAGTTACACTTGCCTGCCTGACAAGGTTGAGGGGGCCCGCCCCTTAGCTCAGGTGCTTCAGTGCCTGCTGAAACAAAGCAGTCAGGCTCAGGATGCTGGGGTTCGATCCCCTCATCCTCAAGCCAAACCAGACCTGCTCTATGGCTCAGTAAAATAAGTGCTTCCCTGGCAAGGGCCTGAGTTCAATCCCCAGTTCTGAAAAAAAAAAAAAAAAAAAAAAAAAAACAAGGTTGAAACCAGTCAGATAACCAGGTAAGAGCTAGAAATATAGCTCGGCGTCACAGCACCTGCCTGGCAAATGCAAGGTCCTAAGTTTGATTTCTGGGGAAAACAAAACAGGATATAGTGGATTTGACATGTGGAAGCATCGGGGTTTTAGCAGAAAATGCCCCCCACACACACACACAAGTATACATCAGTCAGTTACTTACCCAGGTAGAAATTCCTGTTCCAGTTCTGGTTGCCTGTCTCTTAGAAATAGCTGGTCACTGTGATGCACATTGTCTAAGCCAACCCCCAACTGACAAGCTGCTCTGCCTCTGGACTTCCTGCTTGCTTACCTCTGAGAAGCCCTAGACCACCAGACATCAGGGCCTGATATTCTGGGAATGATCCCAGTCAGTGTCTATCCATGTAAGTAAGTCTGCCTCCAAACCCTGGGTGTCACTTTGATGTTTCTGCTTCCATTTCAGGGTGAATCTTTTCTTTTTCTGTTTTGTTGTGGTTTGTTTTTTGTGACACAGTCTCACTATGTCTGTTTCAGGCTGGCCTTGAACTCACTGTGTAGTCCAGACTGGTCTCAAACTGTAAGTGATCCTCCTGCATCAGCTTCCCAAGTCCTGGAACTACAGGAGTGTGCCACCAAGTCCAGCTAGGGTGAATCATTATAGAAGGCTTACAAATGCACACGGAGAAAGTGCCTGGGGCCTGGGGCCTAGAGGAAACCTCCTCAAACCTCTGGACCTGAGCTGGTCCCTATTGTCTATAATGCTCTCGTAACCTGAGAGTTCTGTTCTTCAGTGAGAGCTTATAAACACTGTGTTTGTGGTTCTTTTGGAGCCGGGCAGGCCTGGGCTCCATCGCAGCAGGGATATGTCCTTTTTGCTCAGTTCCCTTCCCCAGCGCCGCCCACACCCAAGGAGTCGTGGGTACCATTTGTTAAATGAGGGGCTGAATGGATGACACTGTTTCTTCAGGATGAGTATTTCCAGCGTATCTTCTCTGCTATCACCAAATGATTCCTTCCTCTCGGCACTCCTAAAAGCCCAGCCTGGAGAAGGGATAACCACCGGTGGCTGGAGCGACGCTCAGCTGGGCTTTGGAAGCTTGCGCAGTAATCGTCCTCGTATTTGTTGGTGCCACGTAGCTCCGCACCATGTGCACCCGTAGCTCCAAGCCCAGCGTCTCCCTCATTTCCCACCACCCACTGGACACCTCTGTCAGTACATTCTTTTGTTCGGTTGATCTTGGGAGACAGGGTCTTGACATGTGTGGCCCAGGCTGGCCTCAAACCCAGGGCAATCCTCCTGTCTCAGCCTCCTCCCTGCTAGGATTACAGGTGTGGGCCACCATGCCTGGCTACAGTGATGAAATTTGTATTATGGATATTTAACCACATTTTTTTTTGTACCAGGGATCAAAGTCAGGACTTTGCACTTGCCTGGCAGGTGCTTGTGCTACTCAGCTAGCTCCCTGGCTCCAAAACATTTTTTTTTTTTTTAATTTTAGGGAAGGGTCTACAGGGTGTTCAGGGTCTCACTACTAGATTGGACTCAGTGGTCCACCTGTTTACAGCCTCCAAGAGCTGGGATTACAGGTGTATACCACCATTCCCAGTCTCAATTGCCATCTTAGCATACCCCAGGGGTGGGGGCAGCATGGCAGGCTCAGGGATTGAACTGCCAGCCCCCCATGAGCCTGCTTGCAGGCACTTTAATCTGCTGCGCTGTTTGGCCAGCCCTAAAACAGTTCTTCAAAGGCATATAGTTTTCAGTAGGACAGGTGAAGAGTTAGTGTGCACACTACATGAAAAGCTTATTGGCAGTCCTGTCTACAACGCTTGACACAAGCAGTGCCTCCAAAGCTACCTCTTACTGGCGCACCCCTGTAATCTCAACCCTTAGGAGGCTGAGGCAGGAAGATCAAAGCAAGTTCAAGGCCAGCCTGTACTGAATAGGAAGAACCCATCTCAAAAACCTAAGAAATGGGGCCGGGGAGACAGCTCAGTAGAATAAGCGCTTGCCTGGCAAGTGCAAGGGTCTGAGTTCAATCCCTGGTTCCCCCGCCCCCCCCCAAAAAAACAAAACTAAGAAACAATAAAAACAAGTGAAAAGGTCTTTCTATAACACACATCAGCCATTCCCTTTAAGAACAATCGAAACAATAGTGACAGTAGAAAGCCCTCTGGCCTCTCTTGCCCAGACAATATCCCTCTCCCCCAGCGCCAGGCTTTGGCCACCGCGAGGGACTCTGGCTGGGGTCTGCGCCCGTCCTCTGCCTGGCCTCACACTTTCTCCCGCTTTCTCCCGTGGCGGCTCACCTGGGCCTGGCTGCCCCGCCATCCCGTCCCG